CCGCCCCCTCCCAGCGCAGCGCAGCTACCTGGCAGGTGTGTAGCTCTGCCCACAGCGCTGCGTGCGCAGTGACTTGCGCGGGCTGCAGCAGGGCCCCTTACAATCGTCATTCCAGGCTAAGCAAAGCTCCGTCCAGCTGTCGTCCCATGTACCGGCCACGTACCGCTGGATAAGGCTGAGCGCTGCTGCCAGCGTCCCCTCATTCGTGCTGGTCGCGCATCCGCCAATCTGAGCCTCTGATCACCGCCCCAAGCTCTGCTGCACGCTACCAAAGGGTACCTGGCCCTGTACGCGGCCGAACCTTGGGTTGCAGGACCCCCCATGCAGCTTCTCACAGCGTCCCTCCGTCACGAAGGCCGTTCCAATGCCAGCAACCATCCGCCGCTACCTAAGCAGATCTGTCAAATGGGCGATCGCAGCTCAATATGCAGCCATCCCCCATGTCGGCCAGTTAGAGCCTCTTCCTCCGCCGTCCACGGTGCTGTTGCCAGGCAAGGGCCAAAGCACAGCAGAAACCACGTCAACCACCGCTAACCAGCGATCACGCCCTGTTCGCCATGCCCACAGGCGAGTTGCGGCCAGGCACGGATGCATGCGGGTGAATCAGCATTGCGTAGGCGAGTTCTGGTCGGATCATGTCGTCTCGCGACCCCTCACTGGCCTGCTTATGCAATTGACGCCGTGCAATCTGCAGATGATGCTGGGCAGATGCTCCACAGGTGGCATCAACCGTCTGTCTAGTTGGCCGGCAGCCCGCAAATGCCGACTGCGTCCGACTCCTTCTGGGGATGCATTGCTGCCTGTCTCTGTCTGCCGATGGATGTCAATGGCTGTTTGGCCTCGTACCTAGGCAGGTTGGCAGCCAATTTGGGCTTCGCGTGGTACCCCACGAGGTGTTTCTGCATCGATTGATCCAGCGATGCTCGACGATATTGCTCGCTTGTTGCCTTGGGATGTATCCGTGTGGGCCTGTGCCTATTGGCCAACCATTGCACCAATTGCTGTGCACCGTATCTCGCCTTTGCACGAAATGCACAGATGACGCCTTTTGATACCGATGTAGGCTGTAGCTTGATGTGTAGTTTGTGCAGGTGGCCACCAATTGGGATGTATTCCACCTCTTTTGAGTCACCCGCGGGGTGATATATGATATCAATGTGCTCGTCCAAAATATGGCCTCATGGATGCAGCTTCAGGGTAGCTGGCCAGCACATCGCAGCGAAAGCTCAATGTTTGCTATTTGGAACGACAATTGAGATACGAGGCGTCTAATAAAGGGGTGGCTTTAATATGCGACCTCAATTACCTATAAAGGCAAATAAAAGACTCGAGCTAAATCGCCTTGAGGCCCTTGGCTGCCAACGTGTTTGGCTTTGCTAGTACAGCGCCAAAAAGAAGCTTTTAGCTGCCATGGTTGCATGGCCATCAATGGCTGGCTGTCAACACGCCTTGCCCTCTATTGCCGGCGGAAATAGTAGCAGTATATATGGCCATCAGTCCAATATCTAGGTAATAACTGCTAAGCAATACACAATCCATGTGCTCCTCCATATGGAGACCAGACCCTCCATTGTTCACTCAGCCGTAACTCGATGGCGCATCCACGCTGCTATACCATTCGGCACTGTTGCTCACTACCAGCACTAAGCTACCAGGGGTGACCGCTAATGGATATAATTGATGACGTTGAGATCGCCCCTGGTGCAGGCGCAAAGCACTTCCACTCAACACCAGCCACTACGAGTATAATTTGAGTTCGCCTTGATTCAACATCACCACCTTTAATGGCCACCTCAATGTCGCTGTAGTCACGAGCCGCGGCTCATGACTTTCCCCTAGATCCCGTCCTTTGCAGCAATTCTCGGCCTCTCTTGCGCCGGTCAGCCGGGACCGCAGACCCCGCACATCATGCCCGGCCTCGCGCGCAAAGTGTTGATTTTCGCCGCTGTCGACGGCCTCATTATCCAGCCATTGTCTTCCAAAGGGCAGAAGCCTTTCCAGCCTGCGAGGATCAAGTACGGAGACGCATCCATATCGTCTGCGGCGCGCGACCAGGTCCCAGACTCGGCAAAGTCCGACTCATGGTTTGAAGCGCTTGGCGTCATTGGTGAGCTGAGGAAAAGGCCCTGTTACTGCAATGTCATGTTAAGTAGTTCTCAGGATTGATTACGGTATCCCGGTTGACGTATTTGGTAACGATTACGCGCCGAGAGCAAGTCGCTCAGGTGTTTGGACTGCCCATTTACGTCGTCACTCAAGTAGCCGTGACCCCGTGCTCGTCGCAGGCTGATGCGGAGGAGTCTGTGCGGAAGACGGCGACTCTTTTGCGAGCAGAGGTGCCCACCAATGTGAATGATGGCGACGAGAGTAGTAGTGATGAAGAGGGCGAAATTGCTATTGCGACTCCAGACGAAGAGGCGGACGATGAAATTCTCGGCAAAAAGCATGCCCCGGCGAATCCAAGGAGCAGTGTGAGCAGTGTTGCCGAAGACGTGATCCGCAGGCGAGGCAGTTACGGCAGATTTGCGCAGCGCTGGTTTAGTCGGAGTGGATGGACTACTGACCAGAGAAGGACTATGGGAATGAGCAACTCGCCGACTTCTACGCCACCCCTTGCGCCATCAGCATCGCCGCCAGTGGTTAACCTTGCTGCCCTGCAAGAGGCAGATGAGAATCATTTGATCCCAGCTTCCGCACTTCTACCAAAGTTGCTTCGAACTATCCAGGTCTGGTTCGGATCCTCGCGTAGCTTTTACTTCTCGTATGACCTAGATATAACGCGCAGCCCGAGTGAAAAAGGGGCGATTGCGAACCCCAACGACTCTCTCTACACGCAAGTCAAGAGCACATTTTTCTGGAATCGGCATATTGTCCAGCCTTTCATAGAAGCTGGCCAGGATGCCTTGGCTTTGCCCTTGATGCAGGGCTTTGTCGGCCAGAGGACGTTTGTGGCAGATTCCCATCCTCCCCAGGTAGATGACCCAGGAGCGGAGTCTATGGAGCTGGCTGATCTCTCGCCGACACCATCTGGGCCGTCATCGCCGTCTCCAGAAACAGCAAGGCTTTCTCTAGAGTTGCGTCCTACCGAAAGAAAATATCTCATCACTTTGATATCGCGACGTTCAACTAAGAGGGCTGGTCTTCGATATCTCAGACGCGGCATCGATGAAGACGGATACACAGCAAATTTTGTCGAAACCGAGCAAGTTCTGTCGTCTCCTGCATGGGAAACTTCATCCCCACTGTACTCGTTTACTCAGATTAGAGGCAGTATTCCACTATTCTTTACTCAGACTGCATACGCACTGAAGCCAGTGCCAGTCTTACAACACTCTGAGGAAACAAACTACAACGCCGCCAAGCAGCATTTCGAGAGGTTACTAAAATCTTACGGCACGCTTCAGATTGTTAACCTGGTGGAAAAACACGGAATCGAAGAGCCAATTGGAACGCAATACCAGAATACGGTTGGCCGCATCAACGATGGGCTCGATGAGAAAGCAAAAATACCCTTTGAGTGGTTTGACTTTCACCATGTTTGCCGTGGTATGAAATTTGAGAATGTGAGCCACCTGCTCTCGCGCTTGAAGGACCAGCTGGAGACACTTGGCAGCACGGTGCGGAGCAATGGAGAGCTGGTCCGCAAACAACAGGGGGTTCTCCGAACGAATTGTATGGACTGTCTGGATCGAACAAATGTCTGCCAGAGCTCGTTTGCAAAACACATGCTAGAAACTCAGCTCAAAGAACAAGGCATAGATATGAGCGCTCAGCTGGACCAAGAGACGGCCTGGTTCAATACCCTGTGGGCAGATAACGGCGATGCTGTTTCGAAGCAATACGCCTCTACTTCCGCTATGAAAGGTGATTACACGAGGACAAGAAAGAGGGATTACAGGGGGGCACTTAATGATCTTGGGATATCTCTAACGCGTCTTTATTCTGGGTAAGATTCCCTCCTCTCCCACATCTCTTCTCAGACCTCCTCTCCCAGCCAAAGTCAAAAGGCAAAAGCTAATGTTGTTTCTCATTCTTGCTTAGCATGGTCAATGACTACTTTAGCCAGGCTGCCATAGATTTCCTACTTGGCAACGTGACAGCCAACGTTTTTGAGGAATTTGAAATCGACATGATGACAAAGGATCCAGCCGTTTCCGTGGAAAGGATGCGCGAGCGCGCGGTGGAACTTTGTCAGAAGCGAGTGGTGGCAGATGTCAGTGAAGAGTTCCACGGCGGCTGGGTGCTGATAACACCCAATACTGCCAATGCGCTCAAATCGTGGCCAATGGAAGAAGTTGTCCTTCTTCTGACCGATGCTGCGATATACCTCTGCCGCTTTGACTGGGATCTGGACAAGGTGTCTTCTTTTGAAAGAGTTACCCTTGCGAGCATAACGAATATCAAAACGGGTGCTTATATCACCTCCACGATTTCGCAGGCTCACATGAATGAGACGAGGAACGTGGGTTTCGTGGTGTCATACCAGCCGGGCAAAAGCGATGTCCGGAGGAGAAACACCCGCACAATGTCCACCAGGGACGCTCCAAAGCTGACAGCAACCGGCGAGATCCCAGCCGCACCGACCGGCTTTGCAGGGCTTTTCTCTGGAACCAACGGCCCAAAGGAGCCTGCAATCCGAAAACTCGCGTTCAAGGCGCCGTATACGGATTCTTCATTGCCAGTCAGCGAAGCTGGGCCACGGCAGACGGAGCTACAGAAAATCGACACCATATGCTCAGAAATTGAGCGTCTAGCGGCCGAACGGCAGCTGGCCAAAGAGGGAGAGGAGCGGAAGAAGCTGGTGGAAAAGGGCGATATTATATCGCTAGACGCTGCGAAGCGCAGCACCGGGTTGTTGGAGCAGCTGGGCCATTCGCTGAAGAAGTTGGTGTGGGCATAGACGAGTATTCCTAGAAGCCTGTATGTGTTCCACATGTACATGGCATTTCCAAAGTAGCTTTTATCGACCTAAAATTTCCCAAACCGTCCCTTGGTGTTGTTCATGCAGCCGTAGACGTGCTCTTCCTTTGATACAAATGCATCTGGTATCGCATATTCTCCAGCTGGATCGGGTAGGAGAGCTCTTCCGGAAGCCGAAACCAGATCGAATCGTGAGATTCCAGCTTTTCCCACTCATAGTCCTTGGATGCAGCCCGAACGTCCGTAAGAGTGTGGTCCAAGAGCCACTGCATGGGGTACCGCTTCTTCTCCTTGCCCACGGCGGCTTCTGAGTAGCTACCCGGACTGTCTACCACGAGAAGCAGGCTTCTATCCGGGAGTATCTCGCCCAGCAGCTTTAGAAACTTTGTCGTCTTGCCGATGCCCCCGCTGGTGTACAGCTCATTGAGCGTAAACATGAGCGTCACGGTAAGGGGCTCTGAGCCGAGCAGCTCCTTGAGGGCCTCTTTATCCATGACCAAGACGTCATTCTGGACGAAGGTCGTGGAGAGCTGTGCGTCCTCGAGAAGAGGCGTGTTTGCGGCCTTGATAGCTGCAGAAGCATATTTTGATAAAATAGGGGGTGAGGTGGCTTGTTTTTGGAGGAGGTCGACGACTTGACCCCAGGGGCCGGCGTCGAGGAGGGTGAGGATGCCGTTGGAGGCGGTTTGTTGGAGGTGAGACGCAAAGGCGATGTGTTCGGCTGCGCAGCCGCCTATGCAGAGAAACTTTTTGACAATCCTGCTATTACGAGATGATGCCTCATCGGCAGTAGTTTCGGCAGCAATGTCATCGACGTGCGAAGCAATGGCTTCAAAAATGGATGCGTAGCACAGCGCCCTTGTGGGACTCCATCGTGCGGCGTATGCCTGGAGGTTCTCCTCGGAGCCAAAAGCAGCCTCAAAATCTCTATTGAAGAGGGACTGCTTGATGGATTGGAGGGTGGCCGCGAAGGAGTCTGATGTAAGGACGGGGTTGAAGGCGTCTGAGAAGAGGGTGAGAATTCGCTGTTGGTTTTTAAGGGTTTCGGGGTCAATGGGTGGGAGAGGAGTGGGTGATGATGCTGCTGCTGGTGGCTTCTTAGAGGGTGTTTTCTTTGGTTGTTGCTTTTTCACCATTTTGGGAGATTTTGTGGTATGTTTACTTGATATATCATCGAAGGCTTACAATGGTGTTTTTCTATGAGAAGTGAAAAATTGGGCGGCATTCTTGAAAGTGGGTACGGGCGTACAGATACGTAGCGCTGTTGCGCTTCACTTGAGAGCTATGGGTGGCCTGGTTTTTCTACTCTCTCAATCAATAAATTATGCATATCAAAGTCTTTATAACAGTTTGAAAGGAGTAAACTCTACATGTAAACGTATTGAGACATAGGTAGGTAGCTGAAGATACACTTCTCATGGCAGAATAACCGACTCAACTCATCGTTTCACTCTGGCGTCGTGTTTGCTTATTGCGCTATGATTGGTCCTCCAAGCGATAATAGCCTAAAGTGCCCTTTTTTCTTCTCTCGCCTTTAAACTTCAGCCCACGATCCGGCCGGCGCCGTCTCTCAACTTTCGGGGCACCTTTCCCGGCCCGCTTGATTGGGTGAGATTGTTGCATGCACTGCTTAGGAAACTTCCGGGGTCTGCTTATGAAATGGGGAGGATGGGGGTGACTTAGGCCCGTGTTGAGTGGCAAGCCTGTCGACCTACCTTGGAGAGCTGCGGCATGCTCGGGGGTTTCCAGGCTGCATTTAGGTAATAGTAGGGTTATATAGGCGTTGTATCATATCTGATGGCTTGTTGCTTCAATTGGGCTGCCAACCATTGGCAACTATGAGATGATAAGGAAGCAACACTTGAGAAGGGCTAAGAGCTACGTCACAGGCCGGGCCGAAACGGAGTATCCGAATCCAGGAAGCCGTTCGCCGTAGCAGTAAGAGAGAAAAGGTCAGCCAGCCAGTCTGTTTTTTAAAGTCTCCGCTTATTAAATAGGTAGAGGAATGGGGTGGATAGCATTGCGTCAAGTAGGTAGCAGATCGATCTGTTGCCGGCAAAGTGGAAGTTGGAGGCAACGTGAGAGATCGCCAGTGTCAAAGGCGAAAAAGAAGGGAAAAGAAGAGGAGAAGACCCGGTTTTTAGAATGTAGACGAAGGATCAGTGAGAATATGTAGAAGCATTCGGACTAACAGGTACATACATTTAGCTAGAAGAGGTCGTATACCGTAGAGATGCAGAGAGAACATTGAAGCCTCGGCCTCGCTCATTCCAGTTGTCGGAGGGTTTAATCGAGGTTGGTAATGGCTGCGGATTGAGCCGCCCTGCAATTCGTAATCGGCCTGCAATGCAGAATAAACACGCATACGCGTGATACGGAGTCGAGCCTTGCATCCGCTGAGCTGATTCTTCCTTGGCTCTAAAAGGTACAGGCACACACACACCAGACACTTGACCACACAGCAGGGGCGAAACTCGGCTCCAACAGCAGGGCTGCGGGCTCACAGTAGCGGACACTGGCCCCGCTGGAACTTGCGCTCCGTCTGCCATTTGCCGCAGCCTGGCCGCGAACCCCCGGGGCTCCAGTAGCCGCTTCAGAGTGGCTGATGGAGGGGCCACGGGTGGACGGGCGAAGCTGCAGAGGGGCCGATAGAGGCGCGCAGGCAACTTGGATCAAGGTTGTAGCGGTCATTGAGATGCTAGAGGGCTCCAGAGCCAGCGGTAAAGTGGGCAGCCGGTGGGTTTGTTGGCTAATGCTCCCTAATCCGTGACATAAACGTTAACCCCTCAACAGAAAAAAAAAAGGTTCCTGCGTTTAGCAACACCAGGTGCTTTATATTGCTGCCTCCCCCTCCGTCTGCTCCATCTCTCCTCTCCATCCATCTCAGCTATTCTTGATACCCCCTTATTTTCTTCTTCTAGCGCACGCAATCCGCAATCATGGGCTACACAGAGGTTGACCAGAAGGCCATCAACACCATCCGCCTGCTCGCGGTATGTTTTCTCCCACTTCCTGCTACCCCGCCATTGCCCCTCCATGGCAGCAGCTCCAGCTACGCGACAATGAATGAGCGAGCAGCCAGCGACGGACGTGGCTGTGAAGAGCGGGCAATGCGCAGACAGCGAAAGCAACACGCAGTGAGAGCAATTGACTGACGGGAATTGCCATCATAGGTTGATGCGACCTTCAAGAGCAACTCGGGACATCCCGGTGCTCCCATGTAAGTTTGTCCAACGACGCCCGGCGATGCGCACTGCCGCCGCACCCGCCGTTCCCGCCCAAGGTTTGCTGCTAACGCCGGACTCTACAGGGGCATGGCTCCCATTGCTCACGTTCTCTGGGACAAGTTCATGAAGTTCAACCCCAAGAACCCCAAGTGGCTGAACCGCGACCGATTCGTCCTCTCGTAAGTGCCGTTGCCCACCCTCTTGGAGGGGAAACAGAGAAAACCCCGCGCAAGATCGTGAGACTGACACGCGTTTCTGCCCAATCCAGCAACGGCCACGGCTGCATGCTCCAGTATGCGCTCCTCCACCTGTTCGGCTATGCCTTGACCATCGATGACCTCAAGGCTTTCCGAGTAAGTTTCCCAGAGTCCGCTGCAGAAATGGAAGAAAGAGGGGACGAAGCCCGTTTGGCCATGAGCTCAACAAGGGGTTGAAACTGACGTAGTGGCGCTAACTTAATCCCACCTGTAGACTGTTGACAGCATCACTCCTGGCCACCCCGAGTCTCACGATACCCCCGGTATCGAGGTCACCACCGGCCCTCTGGGTCAGGGTATCTGCAATGCCGTCGGCTTGGCCATGGCCCAGGCCCACACCGCCGCCGTCTTCAACAAGCCCGGCTTCAACCTCGTTGACAACTACACCTACTGCTTCCTCGGCGATGGCTGCTTGATGGAGGGTGTTTCCGGCGAGGCCTGCTCCCTGGCTGGTCACCTCCAGCTGGGCAACCTCATTGCCATTTACGACGACAACCACATTTCCATTGACGGTGACACCAACGTCGCCTTCACTGAGGATGTTGCCAAGCGCTACGAGGCTTACGGCTGGCACGTGGTCGTCGTCGAAAACGGCGACCACGACCTCCAGGCCATGGAGGACGCCATCAAGCAGTGCCAGGCTGTCAAGGACAAGCCCTCAATCATCAAGCTGCGAACCACCATTGGTTTCGGCTCCCTCCAGGAGGGCACCCACGGTGTTCACGGCTCTCCCCTCAAGGCCGATGACATCAAGCAGCTCAAGACCAAGTTCGGCTTCAACCCCGAGGAGACCTTTGTCGTCCCCAAGGAGGTCCACGACCTGTATGAGAGACACTCTGCCGAGGGCGCTGCCCGCGAGGAGGAGTGGAACAAGCTGTTCGCCAAGTACCAGAAGGAGTACCCCTCAGAGGCTGCTGACCTTGAGCGCCGCCAGAAGGGTGAGCTGCCCAAGGACTGGGAGAAGCACCTGCCCGTCTACACCCCCGGCGACGCTGCCATTGCCAGCCGAAAGCTGTCCGAGACTGTTCTCAGCAAGCTCGAGGGTGTCCTGCCCGAGCTTGTTGGTGGATCTGCCGATCTGACTGGCTCCAACCTTACCCGCTGGAAGGAGGCTGTCGACTTCCAGCCCAAGGCCACCGGCCTCGGTGACTACTCCGGACGATACATCCGCTACGGTGTCCGTGAGCACGGTATGGGTGCCATCATGAACGGTCTGGCCGCCTACGGAACCATCATCCCCTACGGTGGTACTTTCCTCAACTTCGTCTCCTACGCTGCCGGTGCCGTCCGTCTGTCTGCCCTGTCTCGCATCCGCGCCATCTGGGTTGCCACCCACGACTCCATCGGTCTGGGCGAGGACGGTCCTACTCACCAGCCTATCGAGACCCTGGCTCACTTCCGTGCTCTCCCCAACTGCATGGTCTGGCGCCCTGCTGACGGCAACGAGACCAGCGCCGCCTACTACATTGCACTAACCTCCAAGCACACCCCCAGCATCATTGCCCTCTCTCGACAGAACCTGCCCCAGCTCGAGGGCTCCGTCATTGAGAAGTCCATCAAGGGAGGTTACGTCCTGCAGGAGGTAGAGGGTGCTCAGGTCACCCTGGTGTCCACCGGTTCCGAGGTTGGCATCGCCGTTGATGCCGCCAAGCTGCTGTTGGAGAAGCACAACGTCAAGGCCCGCGTTGTCTCCATGCCTTGCTTCGAGGTCTTTGACACTCAGTCCAAGGAGTACAGACTCTCTGTCCTGCCCGACGGTATCCCCTCTCTGTCCATTGAGGTCATGAGCACCATGGGCTGGGAGAGATATACTCACGAGCAGTTTGGTCTCAACCGATTCGGTGCCTCTGGTGCCTACAAGGATGTCTACAAGGTGCGTTTCAAACATGGCTTTATACGAAAGAAGAAGAAGAAGAAGAAAGGATAGTGTGCTAACCCATTGGCTATAGAAGTTCGAGTTCACCCCCGAGGGCATCGCCAAGCGCGCTCTCCTCACCATCGACTTCTGGAAGGACGTCCCCAACGTTCGATCTCCCATCAACCGTGCTTTCCAGCAGCTCATCTAAATTTAAACGTCTGAGGAGAAGGACCGAAATACAAGGGTTTTAATCTTGCAGAATATAAAAAATGGTACATAAAATAGGACAAAAAAAAACCATGAAAAGAAATGATGCTTGTTGTAAAGCAAGCATATGATTTCACGTAGTGACGATTTTTGGGCATGGGAGTATAGGAAATGTTGAAGTTTCATTTATTTTATTCTTTAATACAGTAAAATAAAACAATAGATGAAAAAAAAAAGGAAATTGAGATTAAGATGTGACAAAACGTTTGGATCTTGAGAGCTAAAATAAAAAGACTTTGTCCACCGAATTATACAGACCTATTCTTTTTAAACGCCATTAGAGCCAACATGCTAGCTTCGAGTTCTTTTGTATTACCACCCTCTCCAGTTGATTCTGTGTGACGGTAAAAGGGATCTTTCTCATTAGCTTGTGTATACTCATCTTTATGCGCCTCGCTCTAACAAAAATGCTGCTTTCCTGTATTATATCGCTCAGAGTGCCTCTGTTTCGTTCCGTTCATCTCTTCTCCTAGAATTTCTGTGTGTCGTCTAAAGCCACGACGCCGCCTGGTTCGGCCGTCGAAGCTTTTCGAATGGGGGACGCCGGGCATTCTATGGCCGCAGCATGCCCACTCGATGATGCTTTCCATCAGTAATTTTTTTTGTTTTTTTTGTTCTTTTTTTTTTTTAAGTTTCTTCTTTCATCAAGGTCACTCGGGGTTGCTGCTCCTCCCGTCGGTGTCCTGCTCCAAGCCCTGCGCCGTCCACTCCCTCTGAAACTCTCGCCCAATACGCTCCAGCCTCGCCGCAGCGCGCCTCGCCTCTCTCGCATCGTCCGAGGTAGCAGCGACGACGACGCTGATCAACACGGGCGCCACGGAGTCGTCAACAGTGGCGGGTCGTGCCGTGTCAGGGGTGCGAGTGCTGCTGCTATCGTCGTCGTCGTCGGCCATGTGCTCGTGCTCGTCCTTGTACTTGTATTTTGAAAACGAGTCCGGCTCGGATGAGATGTGATCGACACCGCTGCCGCCGCCGGATTCCCGGGGGTCGAGGTAGGACTGCAAGACGACGGCGCCCGAGTCCGGGTACTCGACCATGATGCGCTGCGGGCGGCCGAGGTTGGCGCGCTGGGCGGTGGTCTGGGAGGTGATGGCGCTGGAGGTGAGTTTGGTGAGGGACTCGAGGTGGCTTTGCGACGACGACGACGTGATGAGCGGGGTGAGGGTGAGGTCGGTGAGGTGGAGGGAGAGGGTGGGATGCTGCGAGGGGAGGTTCGACATGGTGAGTTCTTGGTGTTGTGTTTTAATTTGGCCTTTTTTTGTACTCTCTCTCTCTCTTGAGTTCTATCTTTTATGCGCGCAGATATCAGATTTATAGATGCGATTCTTTTGGTCTTGTAGTTGTTTCTTTCTAAACCCCGGAATCCCAGCTCCAAAGGATGGCCAAAGACAGTGCCTGGCCTGATTTGGAAAATGTTGGCAAGTTTTCTGATCCTGGAGCGCCTTGTCTGCTTCTGGCCTCTATCGTATGGAGTGGGCGCTGATGACGTCGGTGTAGCGGGTGTTTTTTGACTATCGTGGTGTCATGACTTGGGAGCTCAGCGCGCGTGCTCTGATCATTCCAATCTAGCAGGGAAACCAAACACGGTGACAAAAAAAACCATGGGAGGAAAGAAAGGACAGGAAAGGAAATAGAAAAGGGAACAAGAGAGAAAAGAAAGAAGGAAAAGAAAAAAAAAAGAAAGCAACGAGTCAACTGCGCTGAGGTATATTAAGAGGGGGGGTTCCATTCTCTCTCGCTCTCTCACTGCCTCTTCTTTTAGCATCTCTCAAGTACATACCTTACCCAGGTATCCTCAAAGAAGGGGGAGGCTGTCGCAGCAGGCGGGCCCTATCTTAGGTAAAGCGGCACTGCGGCAGGCTAACAAGCAGCCACAGGCGCGCTTTTTGGGGCCAAACCTCCCCATCTACAGCCTCCAGGTCGCTGTTTTGCTGCTGCTTTTCCAGCCCCCCTCTGTTTCTCCCCTCTTTATGGCCCCCGTAGCGGGGACACCCCGCGCTTTGGTGCTGTTTTTAGTGCAGAGTAGGATTGGGGGATGTTTTTCTTCCAAATGTTCTTTTCTGCTTGTTGTTGTATCTGTGTGTACTTCTTTTGCTCTTGTCGCATTCGGCGTTGGTGGGGAATGAGAATGGGAGAGAGAAGATGTGGAGGAGGCAGAGGGTCACACCATCCGAGGAACATCTGGCGGGAGACGCAGAAAAAGGGAGAGGCGACAGAGAAGCAGACCTGACCGCAAGTCAACCGGCGCTGCAACAGGCGTTTGTTCTTCAGGGGCGAGTTGATTAACCCCCCTGGTGCTGCGCAACACGTGCGTTTACATGGAAATGGGGCAATTGGCTGCAATCAGTGGTATCTCGGCAGGTTGAAAGGTCTGAGAGCGCAAGCTATCTATCGAACAGTGCTAATGTATGCACCTTGTTGGCCTACACGTCGTCCGAAGTAAATTAGACCAGTGCTGCTAAATGGATCGTCGTTGTCGACGTTTACCGCCTTACTGCGCTAAACCGCTCGCCCAGAGCACCCGGGTCAGCATAGACTTTCGGTGCCTGTTTCGTGCGTCACCGCGTGGCCGATCCGGCGGCGCCTCATACCTTAATTCACCACTCGCCAAGCCCAAACGGCATTGACAAGCACTGCATAATCGTACTATTCTGATAGAATAATAAGGAAAGATTGGTTACAGTAGTATGTATAATAAATGGAAATCACCCTTGGCTGCCGTCATGTTTTCCCAACAGAGAAGGTGGTTCTTTTAGCATGAGAGAGGGGGGATGCGGTTCATGGCAGAGCCGGAATGCACGCGAGCAGCACCATCTGACGACAATCGCGAGAGTCGGGAATAACACAGTCAAGGATACAGTTCTTGGGAATAATGGAATGGTATCGATCTACGGAGTACTGTACCCTCAATCCACCATTTTATGGGGATGTCGTCTATTACTGCCTCTTTCCTGCTGCGTGCAGCTACGAGTACGAGGTTATCACGGCCTTTGACTGCACTATTCAGTCTTGTACAATGTCGAATAAGCGCCCTTGTCGCCGCTATCACGACTCAATCCACTGCGCTGGGCCAATTCGCCAATGGCGGATGATAGCGAGAAGAGCAAGGGCCACTCTACCCTTCTAGCTAACAGCCGTTTGGTCTGAATAATGAACGACTGCTGCTGCTGCTGCTGCAAGGGTTCACCTAGTCCCAGGGCACTACTGGAAGCGGGGGAAACGCTCATGGGGGAGACCAAGCTGGAGCTCTTTTTGCGGGCTGCGAATAGCTGCATGGGAATACTAGTACTCGTAAGAACAGCGGGCGGAAGAAACGGCGGAGCAAGGATCCTTTGTTGTCGTCACTTTTCTGGTTCCAACAGACATAACGCGCAAGTAGGTACGGATCACTCCGTCTTACACGTATGCCTGTCAATGGCTCGTGACCGCTTACTTGGATCTGCTTCTAAGTAGGCGACAACTGACAAAAGACAGGATCAAAATGTCTCGGTTCTGGACGATAGAGTTGCATTTGCAGCTCTCTCTTGCATCTTTCGATCCGCCTTGTCTCGCTTCGCTTCGGCCATCTTCCTGCAACGATAACAAAGCGTGTTAGCCGAACAGCCATTACATGTACCCCCATTAGTAGTGGCCCATTTGCATCAGTTGTAAGAGAAGCTACAGAAGCTTAGCTTCTCAACAAGAACCGCTGGGCATGACTCGTGAGGAGGTCTGAAGAGGTCATTTCACGATAAGCTCGTTCTGGAATGTGTACGAGCAGAGTCTACTGGAACATGCTCAGAACTACGGTGCAGTTTATTCCAGAGACTCTCGGTCAATTAGCCCGAGAAGGGGACCGAGACGAGGAAAACAGTTCCGGCAATTGTATCTCCAATGGATCTCTGGAACTGTCGTCATTTGCTGGTCAATTGACAAAATCCATCTTCTTTACTTTGCAACGACTAATTGGAGTTCTTATACCGAGGACAACATATTGTTACCAAGTTAAACGCTGCCATTGAATGTAATCAAACAATTGGTATCTTCAGGCTGCCCCAATTCGGGGGAAAAGCCCCATAGTTCCGTGAGATATTCTCCAATCAGGTCCAATCAGGTCCAAAGCTCATAGTTCTGCAACACCACAAGCTTGCTTATCTTATCGCGTACCCTCTCGCACGTGATCCACAACTCCCGCCCCGGAAAAATTCCACACACGAAATTTCGTATTAGCGCTAGAGTCGTCCAAATCTACGGAAACCTCTCTTTTTTTTTTCCCTTTCCACAATCCCGTCAAAAGTTCGACAATCAATTTTTCGAGATGGCTAAGGAAGCGCCTGCAAAGACCGGTCTGGCCGTTGGCCTGAACAAGGGCCACGTACGTCAACTCGCGATCTCACCTCGTGGAGGATCTCTGCCCTCTACTTCTCTGGCAGACGATGGACGCTGAAACTGACGTTTTTTGGTTTGTTACCCAAATATAGAAGACTACCGCTCGTGTCGTCAAGCCCCGTGTTTCCCGCACCAAGGGACACTTGAGCAAGCGAACCGCCTTTGTGCGTGAGGTCGTCAAGGAGGTTGCTGGGTGAGTTTTTATATACCATGTTCTTGACATTTACAAGATGGACGAATTGTTGCTAATACATGTGCCTTCCAACAGCCTCGCTCCCTATGAGCGTCGTGTCATCGAACTTCTCCGCAACAGCAAGGACAAGCGTGCCCGTAAGCTGGCCAAGAAGAGGCTCGGTACCTTCGGCCGTGCCAAGAGAAAGGTCGATGAGCTCCAGCGCGTCATCGCCGAGTCCCGTCGTGCTCACTAAACGATTTTTTTATCCTATATAAAAGAAATCGAGGCAAAAATGGAAAGAGAGGAGACAAATTCGGTAATGGCAAATAAAGAGAATTGAAAATACCAATTTTTTTCTACATCATCAAGCACGGGTTTTTTTTTCGCATGGATTCGGCGCGGGTCATGAATTTTCGAATAATTCACATTTGGGCTTTTATGCGGCGGCGCAGCAACGGTATATAGCTGCGGGTTTTTACATTCCGTCAGAATTTTACATTCTCCAAGATATGCCGTCTTTTTGACCCAACTGAGATACCTTTTTGTTCTCTTCGCATCACCAATTGCCCACCCAGTCAATTCCACTGTAGTTGTAAAGATGCTTGAATTATGTCTAAATTTGTGCCATCTGTGTTCAAAACCATCAAGGCTTGTGCCTCTTCGATATTGATCAAACAAAGCTGAGAAAACGCCAATACATATACATGATGCCAATGCACCCCTAATTCTCCCATGGTACAAATGAGAATCAAACATTTAAGCCGCTCGCTCACTCTCGTAGTCTATTTCTTACCAAGTTTCAGCCATTTCGGTATCTTCTTACCATCTCCACCCTCCTTTGCTGGAGCCCTCTGAGCCTGCGGTACCGCCGACGGCCCGGCTTTATCATCCTCCACGGCAGGTATCTCGGGCACCTTGATGGTCTGTCCCTGCTGAGCAAAGTTGGCCTTGAGGAAAGGCTGTTTCCGGGCCTCCTTCGGCACATCGTCATTCCACACCAAGCTTACAAGGACTCTGCCTGAAAGCTTATACGCTCGGATGAGGTTGTGCTTGGGGGTGTCATCATCTTGGATTACAGCCTTGGTCCCCGGGATGACAAGGTGAAATGACTGGCCGTTGTTGGCCATGACATGCCGCACAGCCTGATACAAGAATGCGCCAGTGTCTGACGGGCCAACTTGCCAATCGCTGCTGGTATTATCTGGGAACCGCACCTTGATGAGCACAGACTTGACAGCATCGATCTTGGCCAACTCAGCCGCCTCCTTTTCTTCAATTTCTTTATCAGACAGCAGTCTTTTGTTCCTGGAGTTTTCTAGTAGGCGGGCCTGATGCAGTTGAGCCTGCGCGACAGTGGGCATGAGATCATTTTCTTCGAATGGCGCAAGAGCGGCAGCAGGTGTCGAGTTTGTTGGAGCGAGGAAGACATTGACAGGTTCGAGGCGCGACTGAGGATCAGAACTATTCGATTCAGATTGTATTGAAGATGTTGGATCTTGCGTTGCTTCGGGAGCTCGCTCTTCCTGCGCTTCGCTTGTGGTGTTGATGGGCTCAACTGGAGCTCCAGTCATGGGTACATCTCCGTCGGTTGGTGGGTCCTTGAGCTTGTTCTCTAGGACACTTGAAGCCGCGTTTTCCTTTTCTTCTTGCTTCTCCTTCTCTTCTTCCTTGAAAAAGGCTCCTATCTGTTCCATCGCCTCATATAGTGTTTGCTCAGTCCTTCTAAACGATAATCGTATCAGGACGTTGCCAGAGTTGTGTCCCAGCTGCGACAGCGACTTTTGGAAATCAGCAAATGATGCAAGCTCCCGGCCCATGATATTTAGGACTGGCGTCTCATAGAATAGCTGGCCGGCACCAGAGTTCTCGCTGCTGGCCGTCTGCGCAACACCTCTGGCCGTGATATTGATGTTCTTCCCCGCGCTCGCCTCGCCGCTTTCAAACTGTCGCAGCACCTGCCATAATGACAAGTCGGAGGGAAACTTCTTAATCAGCCGGCCGCCAGGAATCTCTTTGGCCTCTGGCTGGGGAATCTGCAGGGCGATTTGAACGGCTGATGGGGTCTTGGACTTTTGCACAAGCTCTAGCTTCGCGCCGGCGAGGAGGCCAGACGTACGGAACGGTATGGAGAGATCGACTTGTTTCTGCTTGTGTCTAGGCAGATGAATGTTAGCTTTATGCGCAACATGGAGCAATCAAAGAGCTGGAGTATTTAATGCGCACTTTATCAAGTACTTGTCGCCGTCTAGGCCAAGCTTCTTACAAGCTTCAGCTAGAACGTCCGACAAGTAGGTGCCGGGGCTGACTTTGATGGTGGTGCGCCGCAGATCCGTGGCGATGACCACGACGTGCGACGACATGGTGTCGTTTAGGGCTAGAAAGCTATAGTAAAGCTGAAACAGCCTCTGGGATATGTGGTCGCAGTCTAATGAACTGTCAAGTATTGAGAGCGGGTGATTTTGGAGCTCTGGACGAAGTAGACGGACAAGATGGTGGTGGGGTTGTGACCGTCTTCAGCTGCCGATATAGCAAGAGAAAAGCCCACTGTAAGTGACTTTAAAACCAAGAGTGTCGAAGCAAGTAGAAGAAAAAAAGAAAAGCAGAGGAAAATCCAGCTTCTCTTAATCTCTCACCAATCTTTTTTCCTCAGCCAAGCAAATTTATTTGTTTGCAAAAGCTCAAACCGACAAGGCAAGCTGTCAAAAGCCGATTAGATATCCAGCAAACGGGCCCCACCCGCTTTCTCGAACAATCCGCAGGCAGCCTCGCCCAAGGCGGTCGCACATACGTAAGAGCAGCAGCACCAGCCACAGCGGCAGAAGCTCGGGTGCAGTTTGTGAGCAGTCGCGCCACACAGCGGCCACGCCAGACCATGTTTGCCTGCGCTTTTGCGTGCCAGCCAAGCGTGGGGAGCGAGAGAGAGCTGGGGCAGCTTAGAGAGACAGCTTCCGGCCAAACTACACTGCAACACCAACTCTGCGATACCACGACTGAATTGATTCGAGCGACGGGGCCTTCAGGGAGATCACGGCTCATACCTTACTTGCACTGCTGCTGTGAATCTCGAAACGAATACTAGAATCGAACAACAGCGAGCATCATGGTACGTACAGTGCTGCATTGTCATTACACTATCATGATACTTCTCAGATTGGAAGCTAACGTACTGCTCTCGCCATACAGTCTTCTCCCTTTTCGATCAGTCAGTTGCCCATCCGATCCATCTATCCAACATCTCTGCTAACTTCCCCCCAGACGGCGGTGCCGCCGTCGCCATGGTCGGCAAGGACTGCGTCGCCATCGCCTGCGACCTCCGCCTCGGCCTCCAGGCCCTGACCATCTCCAACAACTTCCCCAAAATCTTCCAGTACGGCGACGTCTTCCTGGGCCTGACCGGCCTGGCCACCGACGTCAGCACCGTCAGCGACCTCTTCCGCTACAAGGTCAACATGTACCGCCTGCGTGAGGAGCGCGCCATCGCCCCGCGCACGTTCGCCAACCTCGTCTCCTCCTCTCTCTACGAGCGCCGCTTCGGTCCTTACTTTGTCTCGCCCGTCGTCGCCGGCCTGGACCCGAAGACGGGCAAGCCGTTTATATGCGGCTTCGACAGCATTGGCTGCATCGACTTTGCAAAGGACTTTATCGTGTCGGGCACGGCGTCGGAGCAGCTGTTTGGCATGTGCGAGGGTCTGTGGGAGCCTGATTTGGTATGTTTCCTACTTCCGTCTATACATATATCATTGTGCTAAACATGTATGCAATTTCAGGAACCCGATGCGTTGTTCGAGACCATTTCACAAGCCCTCCTGACCGCCGTCGACCGTGACGCCCTATCCGGCTGGGGAGCCCACGTATACATCATCGAGAAGGACAAGGTCACCAAGCGATTACTAAAGGGTAGACAGGACTAAACGTGCTTTGCTTTTCCATATAAATACATATTACTAGACGAAGAACAAAAAAAAACGGGATATCACATTTGATTCGGGGCCTGCAAGTGACCGAAGCTGTGTATGCTGTATGGATAGCGGCAGCAAGAGCTGACTAAAACACGTCAATCGAGATTACGAATGCATGCGAAAGGCAAATGAAATGAATAATTGACAAAAGTCCTAAAAACATCGTTTTGAGAACCTGGTTGGAGTCTATTGCGTTGCAGTGCACACTATCCTTACTGGCTTTTCATGTCGAAGCAGGTTGTAGCATATCTTACAGCTTATGCGAGTCAACTTAGTGAGTAATGTCTCTCTTCCTTCTATATACCTGTATGCATTGTATATGTGTATATAATGTATATATACCCTCTAATTTTTCCCTTTACCTTTCCCATTTACTCCTCTTTCTTAGCCTTAATGGCTTTGGGAGCCGACTTCTGCTGCATAAAGAATTGCCTCTCGACAACCTTGAGGATCTCGTCAAGCAAACTAAAGTAATCTTGTTAGTTTTCTCATTTCTACACAAAGCATGAATAGGTAAATCAGGGAGCAAACTTACACTACAGGCGCGCTGATAATAGTAACCGCCTGCCATTCGAGCATATTCAGCGGCAAGATGGCAAACAGATTCTGGAGAATTGGCGTGTAGAGGAGAGCAAAGTGGAGAGCCATGGACAGGGCAATGGCGTATACGAGCATCATGTTGTTCCACAGAGGCAGAGTGAGGAGTGACTCGCTGGATGACAGGGCATTCATGGCGTTGAACATCTCAATCACCACGAGAATCGATAGAGACACGGTAGAGGCAGACTTGGCCATGTCATTGGAAAACATCTCGCATCCAACCTCGGGGAACTCGGCTGAGCAACGGTGGAAGCTAGAAAGCTGTCGGAAGGTGATCTGAGGACCCTCAGGGTTGTACATGAACCACCAAGCGTAACCAGCCACGGTTGCAAGACCGACATAAGTACCAATAATCAGGTAGCGCATGAAAAGCCAGCCACCAATGAGAGGTTCATCTCTTCTACGAGGCTGGCGCTTCATGATGCCGTGGTCAGGTGGGTTAAAGGACAGGGCGGTGGCAGGGAGACCATCGGTGACGAGGTTGACCCAGAGCAGTTGAACGGGAATCAGCGCCTCGGGCATTCCGAGGGCAGCCGTCAAAAAGATGGAGACAACCTCACCAATGTTGGAGGAGATCAGGTAGCGGATAAACTGCTGGGTGTTGTTGTAGATGGAACGGCCCTCTTCGATGGCTACCTCGATAGTCGCAAAGTTGCTGTCAGCCAGAACCATGTCTGCGGCCAGCTTGGAGACGTCAGTTCCAGAACCCATGGCCACACCAATATCAGCCTTCTTCAGAGCAGGGGCATCGTTGACACCGTCACCAGTCATGGCAACGACCTCGCCAAGAGACTGGAGAAGGTCAACCAACTTGGACTTGTGACCGGGCTCAACACGAGAGAACAGAGAAGCCTTCTTAGCCGCCTCCAGCTGCTCGCTGGGGCTGAGATTGTCGAATTCGCGTCCAGTATAGCTCTTGCCTTGGAGATCTTCGTGCTGGCCAAAGACACCAATCTGTCTGCAGATGCTCTCAGCGGTGTTTCGGTTATCACCAGTGATGACAATGACACGGATACCGGCATCTTTGCACTGCTTGATAGAGGCGGGAACTTCAGGACGAGGAGGATCCAGCATGCCAACCAATCCAAGGAAGGTCATGTTCTGTTCCAACTGGGCATATTGTTCGGTGGACTTTGCGGATCTGACAAGCGGGTTTTGGGAAACATCCTCAATGCTGGCAAGGGCAATGACACGAAGGCCTCGGTTACCATACTCCACAACCTCCTTGAGCAGAGTGTTTTGGAGCTTTTCGGTAAGGGGAACTCTGTTGCCGTTGGCACCAACAATGGTGCTTGTGCAGCGCTCAATGACGGATTCGGGGGCTCCCTTGACGAGCAGCTTCTTCGCGTTGCCGTTCTGAACAAGGACTGACATGCTTTTCCTGTCGCGGGAGAACTCGTAAGTCGCAAGTCGGGGCAGCCTCTGCTCGTGCGTGGCGCTGGCAAAGTGTCCACAGTCTTCGAGAGCAGTTCCAGCGGGGGCACAAGGGCCAACCTTTTCAACGAGAACTCGGAGAGCACCTTCGGTGGGCTCACCAACGCTGGAGTAAGCAGCAGTGCGTGAATCGTAGGCCAGTTTAGTATCGTTACAGAGAGCAGCGACCTCAGCCATCTGGAGAACAGTGAAAGAGGTGGAAGCAAGATTCTCGACAACCTGGCCATTCAAAGTAATGTTACCCTTGGGAGCAAAAGTAGTACCCTCAACAGTGAGCTCAGTCAGATTGGTTCCGGCTTCGTTAAGATAGACCATCTTGTTGACGCTCATCTGGTTGGTGGTGAGTGTGCCGGTCTTGTCAGAGCAGATGACACTGCAGCTTCCCAGAGTCTCGACAGAGGGCAGGCTGCGCACGACGGCGTTCTTAGCCGCCATTTTGCGAGTACCAAGAGCAAGACAAGTAGTAATGACAACCGCAAGACCTTCTGGGATCGCGGCGACGCCCAGGGAGACGGCAATTTTGAGATAGTAAATGGCGCCCTTGGCCCAGGTACCGTGGCTAGGGTCGTTGAAGTTGGGAATGTTGATCAGCCAGACGAGGATGCAAATGACGGTAATGACCTTGGCCAGATTATCACCGAAATCGTTGAGCTTCTGCTTCAGGGGAGTAGGTTCGGAGATTTGAGCGGTGATGCTTTCGTGGATATCGCCAATCGCGGTGTTGGAGCCCGTCAAGACGACAATGGCCTTGGCGCGTCCAGTGACGACCGTGGTACCGGAGAAGAGCATGTTGACCTGATCCTGCAAGACAGCCTTATCGTCCTTTACTACCGCAGTAGAATCCTTGCCAACACTCTCGCTCTCGCCGGTCAAGATGGCTTGGTCGACAGAAAAGCTGTTGCTCTCGATGGAAACAATACGGCAATCGGCGGGGATTCGGTCTCCAACAGCAACTGAGACGATGTCACCAGGGACAAGATCATCGGCCTTGACTCGGGATACATGACCACCGTTTCGCACGACATTGGCTTCGTTGGCCGAGTATTCTTGCAAAGCGGCGATGGCCTTTTCGGCACTGCTTTCTTGAGAGACACCGACAACGGCATTGAGGATCAGAATGGTAAGAATCTACAGGTAGAGGGGTATGCGGTTAGAGATGAGATTAAACCATTAAGCCAGCTATGCCGGCGGTACACAGGCTGCGGAAGCACTTACAACGGCGGGATCGACAAATGCACTCCAGCCGCCTTCATCTTCGAACAGGGCGAGGACGAAGGAAACGGCGGCAGAGCCAAGCAAGATAATAACAAGTTGATCTTTGAATTGCTCTAGAATGAGCTCCCAGAGGGGAGTGGGAGGCTCTTCGGGAATTGCTACACTAGAGTTAGCATCACAGGCATCAAGTCAAGGCCGTATCTGATACGGCGGGGCGAGCAAGTGGACGAAGACTAGACAGGAATTCAAAAGATTGTAGAATTTGGGGATGCGCACCATTGCGACCGTGTTTATTTCGAAGCTCGGAGACTTGACTGTCAGTCAGGCCGGTCTGCTCCTTGACGCTGAAGTTGGCGAGCACCGCGTCGATGGGAAGAGCATAAGCGTTGTCCATGGTGGCGGGTTGCGCCGAGAGCGGCGGGGAGGGCGCAACGGGATCTGGATCCGGATCGAGGCTCTCGCTATCAATATAGAGAGGCTCTGCTGTAGACTCTAGATTTAGAACTGAAGATGCCAAACACAGAATCCAAGAGTGAAGGACAAAAGAGAGAAGTGGACAGCAGGGCACTAGTAATAGTTTGCGGGACAAGGCAGTGGGTTTGCCAACATGGCAGATTTGTCAAGACTTTCCCCGAGAAAAGAAAAAAGGCTCCACGTGGGCGGCAATAGGCATGGGCTTACCTGGAGATTAGCAGCAACTAACTCGCTGAAAAAAAGTTCGGGGGGCCCGCCGCTGAGTCTCACGGCCGTCGCCAGAAAAACTTCAACGTGTTCTGTTCGACTTCTCGAGCCAAGGGGTGGAGGGCCTTTGCATCACTGCCTCGCGCGAAGGGCTTGGGCTTGTCCGCCTGCGGTTAGCTTCAGGGCCGTCTTGCCAGCGCCTTGCTGGGCGACTCGGGCGAAGCATGCCAGGGCCGAGCGCTAGTTTGGACTGTATGGCACTGTGGTTTGCACGGTAGATGCGGCGACCGACGGGCCATCGGCGGTGTGCTTTGGGTGGTGGATTGTGCTGAGACACGGCGGCGGCACAGTGCGATCTCGCGTCTCACTAGGAGTGGCGGGCTTTTCGCCTCTGGCCTCCCGGCAAGGATCAGAGATGAAAAGACCCTGCATACGGTTGATGAGAGCGCCTGGCAGCATTTCATTTTACGTTGATTGCTTGTCCAGGCCTCGTATTAACCTGTTATCCTCAGGCTATTAATATTTCTTTTTATATGGCATTGTATATGTTTGTGTCACCGGCACTTCTTGCATCCCCTTGCCTTTTCTCAGTCTTTTTGGTGCCCTGCATGGCCAATAGGCGGTGGAAGCCTGACATGCAGGATTGGGGGTGACCAAGACGCGGCTTTCACGTTGCGACTATTTGTAAGACCAAAAGCTACTCCCTGTTGCAAGTTATGCTGCAGTCTTGGGCCTTGGTCCTCCGTACATCTCTTGATCTCCATGTTTCTCGGCGGTCCCAACTCCACAATTTTGCTCCATATCGGTCCGTACAACTTGGCTCCGATCCAATGTGGCAAGCGACTTCGTCCCGTAGAACTCGGCAGCCGGACGGCATCGGGTCGGCGGCGTCTGTCAGTCGCGGAAACGCGTCTCATGCGGTCATTTCGAGATAACACCTGGCCGAGCTGAATCATTTGTGATGCCCTGCTCCATAGGCCTACGTTACCTCTATATCAGAGAAACTCAAGGAGCCCATATTGACGTCCATGTGCTTTGTTGATGCTGCCGATAGACAAGCTATACTCATCACCAATCAATATTTCCCCTTCCGAGATATCAGCACAGATAATGGGAGTTGTAGATTTTGATCGGAATATTTAAATACCAAACTTTTGCTTATATACTACCTATATGTATCTATCGTGTCCATATACTGCCCGTTATAGCACTTTCAGCGTGCCGCTGTCCCCGTCCTTTCCCTCTACAGAAAGGGAAAGAGACAATGCCCTGCCAACTAGCACCATCGTTCTTACAGCTCTCGTCACCACAGCTTCTGTGTTATTATGCGCTATGGATATTTCTGCCTCTATTCTCCCTGCTACACTGCCAACGACTGCTCTGCCCATATTATCCTATTCCAGATTGTACACTTTGCTATGTTTGGATCGTGAATCTCCAGCTCCTTTGGTCTTTGGCATACTGGAGCCAGTTTTACCTGTCATTTTTCAGCCTTCCTTTGTCCCAGTTCATTTTGACTACCATTGAAAACAATGGCGCCAGCCGACTCTCCTCCGTGTCCTAGTGGCTCCAACTCGAGCTCGAATTCTCGACGCTCGAGCTGGGCTGCTTTACTGCAAAAGTACGAAGACGCGATGGAATATTGCGACGACGACGCCATGTCTGATGATGAGCAACCTGAGATTGCCACAAAAATGTCCCAGCTTGGTCTTGGAGAAACTAGTGTACCTGCGACTGGAGGAAGAGTCAATGACCCTGAGCTTCAGACTATCGTTGAAACCATGTCTCTGGAGACCGCCATCAAGGTGCCTCAAATCACTATTGATAACAACATTGTCCCAGTATCAGACTCGGGGAGCCCTGAACAACTCAAAGCACAAGGCCCATTCCACAAATGGATGCGAACGATACATCGCCGAGCTCGGCATCGATCCACGCTGTCAGAAGGAAGCATTACTTCTCTGCGCCCGCCACTTGAGCCAGAACTTCACGGCCGCACATCAACCTGGAAGAGATCACATCATCGACAATCGTCCTCTGGGTCTTCGTTTGCCTTTGTTTCGGCGGTTCGGAGTGCTAGTGCCAGTCTCGCCAGTGTAAGCGCTGTGGCACGATCACGAAAGACTATTGCACGCTCGCAGGGCTTTTCTGTAACGGAACGTAGCAGCAGGGCCTCCATGACAGGACCTCGTGCGTCGGAAGACAGTAGCTTCTTGGAGAGCCACTCTTTAGCTGATCTGGCTGCTATCGAGAGATCATTACAGCGACGAAAAGTACTAGAAGAGCTTATCAGTACAGAGGAGGGGTACATTGGGGATATACGATTTCTCATGAATGTAACTAAAAAAACGGTCTGAGAACTTGTGGCTGTCCGTCTGCTTACGCATTCTGCAGGTATATGTCACAATTCTAGCGGCATTGCCCTCTATTTGCGTTGGATTACGGTCATCCATTAACCAGAACTTGACCAAGATTGTCAACTTACACGAGGAACTACTAGGAGAACTGCACAGGGCAGTTCCCAACTCCGAATACACGCAAATCAACGTATCACCTACGATCACTCCATTTGCCAATCCCAACTGTCTTCATGCCCATAGCCACAAACGTTGGTCAAGTCTCGGCGCAGTGCCCGAACAAAATATGAAAGCAAGGTGGCTCTTGAAAGCCCCGGGTATGCTGGCCGATCCGCAAGTGGCAGCAGAGGTTGCAAAAGTTTTTGCAAAAAAGGTATTTTCTCGTCATAAACTCTTTGTGTGATCAGATCTAATTCTCTCTCTCTCTAGATAAATATGCTCTTCGTATATGAAGAGTATGGGGCGACATATGAAATGATGATCAAAGACATCGGTACAGCCCAGCAAGCCATGCCAAACTGGGAGACGTATCAAAAAGGCCTCGAGGCCTTGGCTATGGCACTGGGATCATCCAAGGGTAGCGAAGAAGGGGCCAAAAAGGCCCTTACAATCAATGATCTCCTTGTCAAGGTGCTTTCACTTTTGGATAGCCTCATCCTCTTACTAAGAGCGCTAACACTTGCTGCAGCCTATACAAAGAATCTGCAAATATCCTCTACTATTCTCTGAGCTCCTCAAGTGCACTCCAATATCAGACTGTCCGAACTCACATATGGAGATTGAAAACACCCTGACACGGCTTCGTGAAGCAACCACGGAGATCAACCGGGCATCAGATGATGAGGGGATAAAGTCTATTCTCGAGAAAACATGGATCCTCCAGGATCGATTAGCCTTTCCAGATAGAGTAAGATGCCTCATATATTATAGTTCTATGGGCTTTGATAAGGCTAACATTTGGCCAAGAAACTTGATGCAGTCTCAAAAAACCAGATACGGTCATTCGGTCATATCCGTCTTTGTGGAACGCTTCATGTCTGTTGGCAAACCAACGATGGAGTGGAAGGGCAGTACTTTATTTGTTTGCTTTACCGCCATGTTCTCTGCCTCGCTTCTGCCGGCAAGATCGATCCGATATACACCATTATGGCCTGTATCAATCTTGATGATGTCAGACTTGAGGAGGTGGACAATGGGAGAGGTAAGAGCGGCTAGCCTTCATCGGCTACGAGAATAACAGAGAATGAGGAATAAGAGTAGACAATGGCGGAGCTAACGGCTAACAGGAATACAATGCCACACTGCGCCATTTTCTTGGAAGTTGGTATTTGAGTGCGACCATCAGCTATGTGAACTGATTATGACAGCTTGCACGCCGAAAGAAGAAATGGAGTGGAAGTCAAGATTGGCTCGGCCGGCGAGAGAAGACCAAGAGCCGAGTCCGTCGGATATGTTTAGTTCATTGTATATGAACGTAAAAAGCTTGGGAACCGTTTTTGGAAAGCCAGGTAAGCAATATTCCTAATTGAAGTTTCCATATGCTAACTGGGATTCAAGGAACGCTTGCCCGAAGGATATCAATACAAAGAGCCACCACTGTTGGAGGGGGCAGGGCGCCCCTATGCCAAGTCATCTTGAAAAATACAAATGTGCTGCGGGATCACGGCAACAACTCGTCTTCTACCATGGCTATCAATCGCTCACATTCTTTGTTGACAACTGCTACCCGGATACCGGTCCTTGCGCCGCCAAGAGGTGAAAGAGCTCGGCTAGAGGCGCTCTTGTCAGATGTCTGGAGCAGAGAAGTCCTCCCGTTTCCTAGAATGACGGTGAAGTCTCGAGGTGAAAATTTGATGCGAAGCTCAGCATCTACGGTTATCAGAAAGCTTAGCGTGGCCAGCTTTGCAAGCTCCTTTACAAAGAGGTCGGCCTCTTCAACGCAGAAGAACCAGCCCGGCGAAAATATCGCCACGGAAACGACCAAGCGTCGAGACGTCAAAAGTCCAAAGGAGCCGCCTTTGTATGACGACGTTAGTCTAAGGGAAGAGGCAGGTAGAAAAGCGAAAAGGCAGCGAACTACAAAGGAGCAAGCTGCAGCACCAGCACCAGCACCAGCGCGCAGCATGAAGAGAGCGACTGGAAGCGTTCGGCGGCGCGAAGGTCGAGAAAATAAGATTCTCAGCGACATGCATCATACCCCTACTCGTATGGCATCCGCGACTATTTCCCTGCCCGTGAAGCCGACCAACTTGAGGGCCACGACGTCTCTTCCTGGTGACATGGATAATACAAGAAAATCGTCTACGGAAAAGATTCGAAATCTGGGCTTATGGTCCAAAATCGGCGGAGCGAGGAATGACACACCAAGCAGCTTCAAAAGGCTGCTCACAATTGGCAGGGATTAATTTGCCCGAGGAGATATGGAGGGTTTCTGAGGACGCAGAGGTATATTGGATGTTGGTTTTGTGCAGCTTGGAAATTGAGCCATGGGGGGAGATGGTTAACTATCGAGTTTTGACTGTAAACATAAGCTAGCATGTTTTGGGGCCTTGTATGGATTAGCACATCATCTCTATAGGAACCCGGGGAAGCTTCTGCAGAGCATCGGTTACCAAGATTAGAATTGATAACATTGTAACGAGCTGCAAAGAAAGCTGAACGCGACGCGTGGTAACCATAGTAGTTGCTTGATTGCTTTGCCAAGTCAAGGGGGCCAATGCCATGAGGATGATGCTGGGCGTAGTCATCACTGGAATGCGAAGCGAAATGAAGCAATGGCGCGAGCAACACCAAGAGGAGCTGGTGGATCCAATTGAAAGACAGAAGACGATGGAACAAGCAATTGACCAAGGCAAGGCTGCGAACTGTGAACAGCTGTCCACAAGGTCCAGAGTGTTCCTGGATCGCCAGCCAAGCACGGGCCACTCCAGGCTCGGCCTTACGTATGGCCTGTCTCGCCAGTACCGGATACAGACATTATGAGGTCATCTCGTACCCATTGCGCAGCGCTTTGTGGAGGTGCGGCGCTGGACGCTGTGCTGTGGCCTGGCAGCTGGCAGTGGAGGCCTGGTACCAGCTGCTGGTGAAGGTACCTTGGTGGCAGTTGTTGCACTTGGCCCGCACGCCACGATGACGTAGCTGGAGATAGAGCTCCCCTCCCCCACGGCATCTATTAAAACTGCTGCTCTTCCCATTTCTTAACCTCTTTCTTTCCACATCTCATTGAACTCTAAGAAACAACATCACGATCTATTTTCAACTCTTTTTAAACCTCGCTTCACTCATAAATCTTCTCTTGCCAACCCAGAGAAAGATATAAACACCACAAACAAGCACTTTCGGCTATACGTCACGCGACCTAAACCAGCCAAACAACCCACCTTTCAACACTCAACACTACCAATCACAACACCAGCCAAGATGACTCGCGGAGAAGCTACTCAGGTCAAAGTCCACTTCAAGGGAAAGCAGGACGACTTCATCGTCTTTGTGGATGATGTAGAGACATACAAGAAGTGGCTGAGCGACAAGAGCATTCCTCTCACTCAGTTCGTTTCAACTTTCAAAGTATTCCTGACGCACAAGTATGTATCCCTCAGCCCATATCTAAACCTGTGCGATGAGTGCGGCGGCTAACACTGCATTTGCGTACAGGCAAGGAGCTCAGGGAACCTATGACACTGCGTCAAAAGCGGGGCTGGCGGCCGAGTTCGACACTGAGAACGCTGACGAGGCGCTGCTGAAGATCCTCGAGCTTGGTTCAATGCAGAACATGGAGGTAAGTCGCTTCAATTATTTAAATCAAAATACAATCTCTTGAACAGAGTGCTAATGCTTCTCGCGCTTGGACAGATGCCTGCCCGACAAGGTGTTACGAATGAGTCTATGAGCTCGATGAGAGTAAAATAGATGCGGTGCTGGGATAGAAGCGTCTCACTCAGTTTCCACCCCCTTGTCTTGATACAGCGGGACTGTGGTAGTGAGATGGTGGTCTGAGTGGCCTGGAGAGCAGCATGGGATATGGATTATGAACACGAGCTTTGATTGAGCGATAAGATGGCCTCTGGCACAAGGGCGCTCCCGCGCGAAGTAATATGCAGTGAGCCGTGCCTGCGCCGTGTTGCTCTTCTTACATACAGTAGGAATCTCTACACTAGAGAATAATCAAGCATTGCATTTGAAGTTACCATGATTATGGGGCCGTGTCTGCAGCAAGCCGCTGGGCGGGTCTAGATTCCACTTGTGCACTCCATTGGATCCACGGTTCGATTGTCACCAGTCACTTTCAGAGCTCATACGACTTTTATCATGATGTCATTCGATGATGTCTCGAGATGTCTCCCATGTAGTAGATCGAGTTTCATATGCTATCTCATCGCACCCACGCTCTTTGGTATATCCTCCAAAGCCACTGTTTCATCATACCAACGATCAAATACTAATGAAAAGCTTAAAAATCGAAAAATCATATATCCAAGAACCAAAAATGCAGTCATACACAAAACATCAAGTAAACATAGTAATAATACACGTTAGCATCTGTTACCAAATGCTAACCGATGCTGGAAAACACTCAAAAGATGGAAATAACGAAAAGGATGGATGCTGAATCCTGAGAGGCACTCTTTGTAGAAGAATTCGATTTTGTCTGACTTTGGCTGGATTTCTTTCTTTCTTTCTTTTCACCCTGTTCTTCATCGGGGGTGTGTTTTCTTTTTCGGGGGAGTGAATTTCGAGTACTTGTAAATACACACACAACTCCATGGTCCTGGATACGCCTCCTCTCATTTCGTTGCCTCTCTCTGGTGTCTTTTTCCATCTGGTTACATGCGAATGTTCCGCTGCTCTTGCTTTTCTCTCTCCCATTTCCTTTCCCTGCTTGGCTGAGTCCCTGACATCTGAGTCTCAGACTTTGCTGGGTCCATTTGGTGTTCGCGGAGGTAGAGTCCAGGTTTTTGCGCAGATGATCTGAAAAAAAAAAAGGGATGTTAGTTGTCTATGAAGGGAAAGTATTGAAGAACAGAGGAGGGGAAAGAAACGTACCTCGCCTTCACTGAAAGCCCAGAAATAGGCCCCCATGCCCACCAGGTAATACAAGCCCGGATTCGTAGACTGATACATGAGCAGACAGGCGAGCGCAGAGAGTGGGAGGATGGCGAGGCGGAACTCGATGGATCGGTGGACGCTGGTGCCGGCGAGCAGGGGCAGGGGCCACTCCAGGGCGATCATGGCGATGCCGAAGATGAGGTTGATGATTTGGAGGATGGGGAAGGGCTTGACCATGACGTCGAGCGAGTGGGTGAGGAAGTCCCAGAAGATCTTGGGCCAGATGAAGCCCTCGATGGCGGCGCCGATTTGGTCTAAGTAACGGTGTTAGTTGAAAGTGTGTGTCGTGTAAGTGAAGGCTTATACGTACAAGTGGCGGCTGTGAGCATGATGAGCCGAGCCCAGTGGTTCTTGATAAGCTTGCCCATTGTTGCGGATTATTAAAAATCGTCTTTGACCTCGTAAATGTTCCCTTCAATGAAAAATCCCCAGAAATATTCGTTTCCTTTTCCCGTTTCTACCCTTGTTGGACCCGTCCAAGAGATAGAAGATTGTATGCAGCCAAAAGTCGGATCAACCGAATGAATTCTTCTTCGTTAAAAAAGAGACAAAGAGAAAAAAGTTATTAGGGCGTTATGGTGAAAAAAAAGATATAATCGACAGGTACCGGACCCGCGTAACAGAGAAACGAATGATAAAAAAAGAGAAGAGAAAAGAAAAAAAAGAAACACCGAGCAGACTCGCAGCTGGTGACAAGACGAAAAAGAATGGCCAGGGAAAAAGAACCAGAAAAGAAAGAAAAGAAACAAGAGCCCCAAAAAGAAAAACAGGGACAACTCAAGTCTATATTGGAGATGGACCAAAAAACCACAAGAGGTCCGGCTGTGTTTCCTCCCTAGGGGGGGAGGTCCTGATCGCCGGCCTGGGTTGCTGGTTTCTTTGGCGCCGAGGCGTAGACAAGACGTTTGAGGCCTTGTGTCAGGTCCGCGGAAGCTAGCGAGGTGAGAGGGGGAGATGGGAATGGGCGCTGGGGCGGAGATGGAGATGGGCTAGGCCGGGATTCGTTTCTGCTTCGGCCGGGTTCGTGTAATAAGGTATTTCTTTTTTCGCCCAAGCTTTAGATTTTCGAATTAAAAATCCAATGTCTATTGTTTCTTTGGTGGAATGCGGCGGAGCGAGCAAGGGCCGGATAGATCGATATCCGCCTGTCGACCAAGGGTGGAGTGAACCTGAAGCAGATCTCTAACGAGGAGCGTGTTTGAGATTTGTACCGGCGGCAGCCAAAAGGGGGGGCCAAGGGACGAATTATCTCGGGTGCGTCCAGCAAAGAGAAGAAAAAAAATTGGCGAGGGTAGCTTTGATGAGAGTTTCACGATTGCTGTGCTAAATCGTGATGCTAGGAGTGTTGGCAGCTCCGTGTTGCTGCTTTTTGTCGCGATGGTATCCAGATGTAGGTAATCGTGGTGTAGTGTACCCAGTAAAGTCGTCGGCTAGTCGTGGTCTCATACACAGCAAGGGAAAAAAAAAAGAGGAAATAAAAGCAAAAAGGCCCAACAACAATATGAATGTGGTTGATCAGCAGGCCTTGCGACTGGAATTAACGCTGAAGGGGGTATCAAAGTACGGTATATTCTGAAGCAGTGAGAGCAAGAGAAGATGCAGAAGAGAGGGGGGGAGGCGCTTTTGAGTATTTACTACGATATACTGGTGGCACTACTGCTTCTGCTGCAATATCCAAGTCGCAGTCTGGATCAGAGTCAGCCGGTGGGCCAAGACCCGGGCGCTGAGAGAGGAGCTACTGCTGCGAACTGGTCACACAGAATGGCCTCTGCCTCTCGCTGTCTCTCTCTTTCTCTCTCTCTCTCTCTTTTGGCCCTCTCACAGTCTGGCGCTTGGTGTTGCGATTTCCTTGGGGTGCTGCGAATCACACGGCGATTGGCCTGTCCTCGGCGGTTACAGAGAGGGCCTGGGCCAATGAGAGGAGAAGCCGCCTCTCCTGCGCGTCGGAGGTGCAGGGGGGGGCAGAGGCCCCGGTCCACTGAAGCTCGGGGGGATCCCTGCTATACGAGTGGAAAAGCGATTTGACTGGAGTACCTGGGAAATACGCAGTGCTGGGCGGCATGACATTCATTTGCTGCTGTCGCTGCCAGGTACTGCGTGCAGCTATACTACCGAAAATTGATAGTCAAGTCCGGTTGCTGCCATGCGATGCCACCCATGGGCCTCAGTGCTTCATGCATGTTATAAGCGAGAGCAAGAGGGGGTCGGAATGGAGCTTTCTTGTTGCTCCGCATGTCTTGCGTCTTGCATGCGCAGCGATAGATGGTGCTAGCAGCCGTCAGGGCGCTCTCCAATTCACTAGGCCTCGCATCTTGATTCAAACATGAACTCTTGTCCAGCTCGATCTTGCCGATGATTCGAATTCAAACAGCTCAGAGGAAAAGAAACAAAACAAAGCACTGCTAGCGAGCCACTCTAACAGAGGCGCGACCACCGCAGTCTCACATCCCGCAATCATGAAGCACGCAGTGTTTGGCCAGTTTCGTCCCCGGCACCAGCCAAGTCTCTTCCTCCCTGTTGGACCCGCCCAGCAAAACTTGCCCCTTGTTCATTCAATCTTTTAACGGACTGCAAAGATGCTAGAGAACAAGAATCACCCGCTAGCGACGATTTTAGCTCTCAAGAAGTCATGGGAGACCCAGAAATAGAAACTGCGGGTCAACAGCTCAAGCAGCCTTTCTGCTCTATTCGCGGCCATTTCATTGGTTTCCGACTTTTCTGGCTTCGCGAGATCTTGTTGTTGGTCGGACGTCCCTTTTTTCATGCAACTTTTTCAAATCGATCATGTATGATCGTTCCCGCTTTGCCACGTTGACGGGACAGGCGGATGCGACATTGCGTTTGCTCGCCCTTGTTGTCTTTTTTTTTTTTTTTTGGTTTCGCATGAATTGATATAAAGATAAGCTTCGTCCTCCTAGAAACATCATCGTCTGTCAGTAAATGTCTTATGCTTGGCGGTTTAGATGCTCGAGCTTTGGAGCCGGTCACTCCACCAATACACGTTCGCAGCCATCAGTTGCTCTGTTTCTTACTAATTTGTTACAATCTTCCGTCACCTCTTTTCATCACATCACTCTACACTAGCATGGAGACAACGGCCGTTTCTTTGCAATGCGCGGGAAAACGAGAGAGAGAAAAGGACTGGACAGTCCAGATCATGGCCCTAGCGTGTAGAACTTGTCATCAGGCCATGCCCATCGAATTGCCCTCTTCAGCCTCAGGGCGGCTCTACACCACTGCTGATTGGCTCCCCTCACCGTCCGCCCCAGCCAACCGGCGCCACCATCACAAGGTCTGTTGCGCATTCGTTGACCGCCAAATCGGTCTCTGTCGCCCAATTCTTCGGCGTAGACCCGGAGAGCATGGACCATGGTTATAATTACGAAATCTAGGATTCATAGCTGGGTGATGGTCACCAGATAGCCTTGGGCAGTTGATGTGAATGGGTAGACTTGGTGATTTGATAGTGGCTCCATTCATATCACAGCAGCTACCTAGAACTAGTTTGTATCGCCGCCGGTCCAACTCAAGCACCCGCTCGTACTCGTAACAACCGCAAACTACATCATCTTCTCTGCTGATTGAGCATGTCTAAAAATAATTATCTCAGGAAAAATCATTGATATGCCGCAAAATCATAATTTTGATCGCCCCATCTACACTTGTCCAGACGCTTGCGCTGCCTGCTCCCGCATTCGCATCTCCAGCCGAAGAGCACTTTCGTGGCCATGGACAAAGAATGCTATCACTCTATTGCCCTCTTCGTCGTCGAGCAAGTCACAAAGCTTCCTCCTCCCTTCCGTACTAAACACAAGCTGCGCCAAGCTTCCCAATCCACTCGAGACGTCCGTCAGGATATTCACGCGTTCGTGCGAAAGCGCCTGTCCATGCACACAATGCGCTGCGAGGGCCTGAACCTCTGCCATTTCCTGCGCATAGCTTTGGCGGGGAACGCTGGCTGTACACTGACGTCGTAAAGCGTCCAAGCGAGTGACTAGCTCCGCTGTAGACGAGACGGGGATAATGGGCACATGGGCCATGCCTTGCGTCAAGATACTGAGCCATTCGGTCAGGGACGGGCGCTTCCGCAGATGCAATTAGTCCCTGTATATGCGAGCTCTCACCTCATCTGTAAGTGAACCAGCGAGTCCACTCGTCCACTTCCATCTAGCAGAAGCATAATGGCCACTTTTTGCCCACCATTGAGCATGGACAATCTTTCAATCTTGGTCTTGACCTCTGTGGTTTTTGCTTCTCCGGACGAAAGGAGAATGAGCTTGAACGAGACGCGTGGTTGATGATGCTGGCTTTGCGGTGGCAGAGCGAAAGCAACGTCGTGACTGTGGAGATTTGTCTCTAAAGAGTTGGCCGAAATCTCAGCTCTCCCGCCTTTGAGAAGCGACAGCTTAAGCTGATGGCCTTCAACATACCTTTCCAACCTGGAGAGGCACTTCGTGAGAGAGCTGGAACTAATTGTGCCCATTCCTTTCGCTTTCTGAGGGATGAACAGAACATGGTCGCTGACAGTCGTTTCGACGGATCTTTGATACAGGCAATGATCAAAACTCGGCAATGTGCTATTCGAATCGTGGTTGGTAAAGTATGAATTTCTGTCTCTATAAAGCTTCAATGCTCTCTGTTTGTTGTATGTGCTGAAAATTTGATCCGCTATCAAAGCGGCGAGGCGACTGCAAGGAAGGAGCCTCTACACTCCTTTGCGCTCCTTCTCATACAATCCTTTATCCAATTCCTGTTCCCCAATTTCCTCTCTTTTTATTTATCCTTTCTCCTCTATCTTTTACCCGCTGGTCCATTTTCGACGTGATATGTGAAATAATAAATGAAGAAATATGATCGCTTTGCAGCGCTGAGTGGAGTGTTGAGCGGTCTGAGGGTATCTAACCCTGCCTGACCAAAGAAAAGCCCAGTCCATTGTGTGATCATGGACTTCTCTTCTCTGTCGAATGGCCTTTTATGTATCGAGAGTTGTCTTTGAGGAGCTCTGGACGAGCCCGCATCAGCTGAATAGCCTAGTTGCTCGGTTGCAGCGATGGTAATAATGGTTGCTTTGTCTTCGGGTCCTTCAATGCTCTTAAAGCTTCTTCGAGCGATTCGAATCGCTGCCGCTGCCTCTGCTCGGCATCTGCCAGTTCCTCCTCTTTCTTCTGAAGCTCTTCAAACCTCCTGTTGAGCTCTTCTAACCGCTCTTTATTGGCATCGGGCTTTTGTGACGATTTATAGTACTCGTATATAATCAATGCTCCCGCCACGCCGAGAATAAACGTATCGCCAGCAACGTCAGCGAACAAATCCACAGCCTTTCCCTCTGGCAACGGCCGGAATTTTCGCCGCCATACGTTTTGTAGCGTAAACTTGGGGTGGCTACCCGGCTCGGGTTCGTTATTCTTCTTCGCCTTCTGCTTGGCTTGTTCTTCTTTTTTAAGCTGCTGCTCTGTTTTCACTGTGGGGGCTTCGGCTTGTTCTCTGGCTCGTCGCTCGGCCTCGGGATCCCTCAGGAGGGCAACGGACAACTTCATGTTGAGCTGGTGGATTGCTTGGCCGTACTTGGCTGCGAGTGCCCGAAATCGAGGGTGGTCATGGGCTTGCGCCTTGATGCGATTCTATACACGGTATATATAAGTATCAAAATGGAACACAACAGATCCTACAGAGCTTGTAAATACGTACTGCGCCATACTTTGAGACATGCCGCACGAAGAGAGCTGCGAGCTTGAACAGCGGGAGGGGCACCATGATGACGGCTGGTGAAGGTCTGTCTGCGGGTGCCGGTGCCGTCTGCGGGGTCCCTGTCCAATTCGTTGCGTCTGCGCTGTTTCGATCTTTGCCAATTGGTTGTTACTACTTCATCATCGGAATCGAGAGGTTCGAGCTTCGCATCGAGGCCTAAAGCCAGTCGGGCTTAACGGGCACTGTCGCTAGCTTGGCTCATGTCCGCGCCGGAGCCCGCGATGTTCCGGTGCCCACCGGAGCTGGTTTTCGGGAGGGACAAGCCCAGCGGCTGCGGCGAGCGCCATACCGACGAATCGCCTTATGGCCGTTTGTCTTGCTTGGCATAGAATGGTATGTGAAGAATAATAGTAGTAAATGCTATAAATCACTACTTACTAATTACAGGTACTGTCTCGTTACTGATGGCAGTGATACCGACAAGTCTACAGCGCTAGAACGCTGCAGAATTAGGTCTGTTGCCATGCCAGAACTTGCACCATCTTAAACGTTTTGTCTCGAGTTGCAACTCTCTGGCTCGTGACAGCGCTGCAAGCTCCAGAGCTGCTCAACAGTTACAGGCATAGCTTCAGCGGACTTCAGTGGGCGCTAGCCACTAAACGTCCACTAAGCCCTCCCTCTCAGCGCCTCTAGGCGATGGCTATCTCGCCGCCGTGGGGCTCCAAGCGCTATCAATCGTTCGTAACCTACGGCAATGGCGATGTGACCCACAATAAGGCACTGCTGTTGCCAAGAGCAACCAACTCCCACAAAGTACACAAATCACAATATGGGGTCAGTCAACGGCAGGGTTTGTTCTGTGGCTGCGACTGGTCACGCTGCGCTCACCTTCTCGCATCCGCCAGCCTTTAGCCCGCCTTACCATCATCCAGCATTGCTTAATGCCTTTTTCATGACTGCGCCATCATCTGAATGTTTTGACCTTGTTTACAGCAAAGGCCCTCGCCACGCCACCATTCCTGCGCATGCTGTGCGTATCCGAGGCACCTCGTGAGTTTGGCCTTTTTTTGTCCTTTCAGACCTGCCCTGCCTGCTTTGGGCCTGGCTTACTGGACGCTGTAATAAGCAAGACAGCCTCAGCTGTGTTTTGTTTCTCGAGCCCGCATACCTGCCGCCCGGCTGAGCTTTGGCCATACACAAGGCTCTGCGGTCTGCAGGAGCTTGGCCCTCCCGCAAAAAGTTGTCCCATCGCCTAATCGCGTCCGTGTTTTGCTAGGCTCTCCACGGCACGTCTCTTTAGGCCGCTGCTGAATCCCGTAGCCTGCCCGTTCCTCGTCGCCGCATAATCTCGACCAGCCCTCTCGCTGCCTCAACCGTTACTTCGTCGACATGGCGCACCGGCTGGTCCCCAGGGGCGGCGTCGACATGGAGGCCTTGTCCCCTAGAGATGTCAACGCCCAGCGAATGCCCAGGGCCACGGAAACAAAGGCCAAGCCAGTTGCCCAGCTCAAGTCCAAAGACAAAGAACATCCGCCGCCTCCTCCAGAAGAAGTGCTCGAACCGAGCAGCACCGATCGCCCAGACGGCGCCGTTTATCGCGTTGGGAAATTATTGGGAAAGGGAGGATTTGCTATATGCTACAGTGGCCAGCTGCTTCCCACAAAGCAAAAGTATGCTCTCAAGATTGTCAAGAGCCAGATGCCTTCCAAAATGGAACAAAAGGTTAGTAGTAATGCTGCTGGAGATGTTTCACCTCCAATTTTTCGAGTCTGCTCACGTTGTCGCAGTTCCAAACCGAATTACAAATCCACTCCAAAATGCGACACAAGAATATTGTCCAGTTTTTACGAGCCTTCTCATACGTCAACTGTACTTTTCTAGTCCTCGAACTCTGCCCCAATGGCTCTCTTATGGACATGGTAAAGCGTCGAAAGGGCCTCACCGAACCCGAAGTCCGATTCTACTCAGTCCAGATCTCCGGCGCCATCAAATACATGCACAGCAAGGGCATCATCCACCGAGATCTGAAAATGGGCAACATCTTTCTGGATCACCAGATGAATGCCAAGATTGGCGACTTCGGCCTTGCTGCGTTGGTGGTGACTGGTAGGGACATGCAAACCATTCGACGGACGACTCTGTGCGGAACGCCAAACTACATTGCTCCTGAGATTCTTGAGAAGGGCAAGAAGGGCCATGACCACATGGTCGACATTTGGAGCTTGGGCATTATAATGTGAGTATCAGCTGAAAATAACCCTAGGATGATAACACGAGGCTAACAGAATGGGGGTTTAATAGGTTTGCCATGTTTACTTCGAAGCCACCTTTCCAGTCATCAACGACGGACGAGATTTACCGCCGAGCCAGGGAGCGAGATTACGAATGGCCAAGCGCCGAGGTGTCCCAGAAATATATTAGCCAGGAGGCTAAGGACCTGGTGGCCACGATGCTCGAGGATGCTGATCAGCGACCAGATCCCGATGAAATCGTCCAGCATCCCTTCTTCTCTGCAGGCTACATGCCTGCCTCTGGCGAGATCACCTCAAAGCTACGAGAAGTGCCCCCCGATGCGGAAGAATACTATAACTCAAATCTGAGCACCTCGTTGCAAGTGCGATCGCACCGTCACCTAAAAGAACTATGTCGAGAATGCATCGTCGGGCCTTGGAGTGGAGACAGAGCTTCGCACACGCAGATCTGGAAAGAGATGGCAGCTGAGGAAAAGGCAGGCCTGACTCCAATCATCCCTCTGGCGGATAATATAGTCTATCGGCCATTTGATGACTGGCTAAGGGAGCAGCACCAGATTCGTGCAAGAAACGCAGCGTCTGCTTCTGCACGCTCAGCCTCAGCAGAGGGACAGGAAGATGCCACGAATGGCTCGCAAAAGATATCTTCATCCGGCCTTCTGCGACAGCCTCCCCAGAGCTTTGCGGCTCAGCAACGATCCCAGGGTCGACCTACTATTTCCACCACTTCGAGGCCTCGACCTGCCCCAGAAGCTTCGCTGTCGGCTACCATGTCGATTTCGCAAAGCACGAAGATTCGACCCCGTCCAGATCGTCAATACACACTCACTCGCGAGGCGACCTCCTCCTCAACTTCCTCGAGAGAGGCTCTCGAACCTACCACCACCACCACCCGAAGTATGCGCGTCTCGACAAGGACCCAACCACTAGCAGCTCGATCTGTGCCTATTGCGCCAATTGCAGAGAGAGCAGCGACAATCTCATCCGCGACTTTGCCAGTTCATAAGAGACGAGGCTCAGAATCTGTTCGCGCGGCCACCTTGTTTAGCCCCTCTGAGACACCCAGAGTAATGCGAGAGACGAAGCCCGATGACATTCTCGAGCGACTAAGCCAGCTTCAAATCGAACTCGAGCGAGCTCTCAATTCCCGTACCATGGCCATCATATCTTCTAAAACGGCGGCGCCGCCTCATCCTCACATCGTAGTCAAGTGGGTTGACTACACGAACAAATTTGGCCTTGGCTATATCTTGAACGACGGTAGCGTAGGATGCATCCTACGTGATATCCCCACTACCGAAGGCAGTAAAGCCGCTTTGCTGCCCCCTGCGGGCATTTTCATTCGTAACGCCGAGAAGCATATCCTCAAAAGACAAGACGAATTTTACCCAGATCGGCACCAACCAGTACCAATGACTGAGCCTATCAAATTCTTCGAAAACAATGGCGAGGCTGGCCTTTCGCAAGTCATGGTCTCTCCAGATCAATTTCGAGTCTCAGTGAACGACGACGGGACAGCCGGGAAAATGAATCCCGGCAAGGACGTCTTCCAACACCGAAAGCGAGAAAGGATCATCCTATGGAAGAAATTTGCTAATTACATGATTGCATATGGCCGAGACGATGTGGCCGAAGAGGAAGAAGAGGATACCACCATGTCCCCGGGAGAAAAGGGCACGCCGGCAGAGTTGGTGACATTTTACCAGCGATTTGGAGATGTTGGCTGTTGGGTATTCGGCGATGGGCACCTTCAGGTAAGGAACTTTGCGGGGAACCCTCATCGCCTTTTCGACATACTAAACACATTCTTGCGTAGTTTAATTTCCCAGATCACACCAAAATTGTTCTAGATGCGACTGGAACCTGGTGCCACTTCTGGCATCTTCCTCAAGAAGCAGCAGAGCGACTCGCAAACACCGGTTCTATTGGCGCTACCGCTCTAGATGACCGAGCCACGCTTTCGTATCCCCTGCAAACGCTGCTCAACTTCCAGACCAGATCATCAGCACGAACAACCACCACTGCAGCCAGGAGGCGACCAGAGATCGATCCAGAGATTCAAGGGATCCCTGCGGCGAACGATTTCCGCCGCAAGGTTGAATTTATCAGAAATGTTGTCAAAGAGTGGGTCGCCAACGATGGTCTCGGCAACAGCTCCATGGAGAGAGAATCTCGTTTGAGATGGACTGGATACCGAGAGACGGTCCACGCAACTGCTCCCCAGAAGCACGTTTGGGTAACCATCGGCGCTCGATGGGGAGACCAGCGCATCTCAACATTTGTCGATCCAACTAAGCCCTGGGAACTGGGCGAGGAGGTAGAGAATTCAAAGAAATGAATCTACCGCGAACGGTTATCCTGGCGGATGTTTAAAACTGGGGAGAACACGACTTCTCTTTTCTCTACTCTCTAATATTTCATTTACTATGCATTTCCTCAGGAGGCCAGGATGGTTAGCCGGCGTTAAACGGCGAAGACGGACTTGAGGCTATTGAGGATTCTAATATTGATCATACAGGCTGGCGTTGGTGGAGTGAAAGGAGCAGAGCCCATGTCGCTTTTTTTTTCTCCTTGTTTTTGAGGAGAGCTGTTATACACTTTGGTTTTTTTTTTTCTCTCGCTTTTTCAAATGGATGCAATACCCATGTTGCACATATTAGTTTACATGTAGATACTAATCGTGTGATTGACGAATGATTGAATAACGGAACCTAGTTTTGAGTTGGGCAAAACAAAACAACACAAAGAAAACAAAACAACACAAAGAAAACAAAACAACACAAAGAAAACAAAACAACACAAAGAAAACAAAAC